GACCCGCTGGAACAGCAAGTAAGTTAACAAATGTAAGAAGCTAAGCACAGCAAAGTATAATTAATTTTGTTCATTGTTCATTTATTATAACTAAGTATTTAAAAACACAATTTAACAACTCTTCTATGGTTTTTATTGTGTTATTGTTTTAGTGGATGTGCTCATGTCTGTATCTTGGTTTAAGCAATGTTCTGTAAAGAACATATAAAATGCCTGAGAGATGTGTATCATTTATTATAGAGAAGGTTATTAAACACTGATTCTTTTCTGTGTGGTATCTAATTGTGTGTCTATTTGCAGTTCAGTCATTTGTCTTTCACTCTCTCTGCATTTAAATTATTCAGATTTATAATAGTTTTATATCTTTTCCATCAAAACATGCAGCAGTATTAAATATTGAATTTCAGAACTTAAAATCTGTCAATGTTTTAGTTTTGTTTTGATGTTATTGGTCTTCTTCTGCCAAACATTATCACAAAATATAATGCACCTATTGTGTTTGGCTTTTGGTTGAGATTTGTATGTATTATTTAAAGTTGTCTGGGCAGTAAACCCTGTTTTTTTTAATGGTTTGATGTTTATTTTAAGACAGCAAAGGTGAGAGCTACATCTTTGATTCTGTTTTATATTTTTTGTATCAACAGTTTTCTCCTCGTTATTCACTTTGGATGTGTGAAGGTTTGTGTACAAACTCAAGAAACAAAAAGGATTTAATACTTATATTTTGTAGGAAATGCAGTTCTCTCTATATGCTGACTCAAACGCCCTTGTTCTCACAGGTATTATGCATATTGCTGAATACCGGGATATGGTTTGTTGTTATGTATGTACACACTTGTTCATCGCCCTCTTTGTATACTTTGATTAAGGTCAGCTGCATCCACACTTGGCAGAAAGGATGAAAAACTTGCCGCAGCTGGGACGTGAGGCTGCAGAGGTCCCCTTCTATTTCTTCTTCAGACATCGGAGTCCTTGTTGACCTTGTTATTAGAAAATAAAATATATGCAGTACTTTTTTCTCGTACTTTTTTCATCTGCCATCTGAGCTTGAAGGAGCTGTCCATGTATTTTTGCATGCTTTACTTCATTTACCACAAATCATGCACGACTATTAGGAACTTTAGTACTTTTCCACACCATCTTTATTGTTTCTGTGGTCAAGTGTCGACCCTCTGCGAGCCAGTCCTCAACCACCACCCCAGTATTAGAGAGGAGTTATTACTCCCACACTCGAAAAACCCACCAGCCTGCTGTTTGCTTCTCTCTCTGCCATGCATCTGTCATAAATTTCATTTGTAATATTGTGTTTTTGCAGGACAAACATTTGTGGGAAACATTGCACACTACAATAATAAAATGCTTCTTCCTTCATGTATTGACTGATCTGAAATTGAGGTTTGCATCTGTTCTCATAGCACTACTATTTCAATTTACTCATTTAGGAGAAATGACGTAAATAATTTTTTTAAATTACCTGCATTATAAAATATAGATTGACTATAAAATGGTGATTTTACAACCTATGCAATTCATTTTCCAACTTTAACCATTCCAGGACAGAGCTGTGGAGGGTGTTGCTATATAATAATAACTTTATTTGTATAGCACTTGTCTAAACAAGGTTACAACATGTTTCACAAAATCCAAGGCAAAATATAAAGGAATGAAAATAAAAGGTATTCAATTCAGTTCAATTTTAAGCTCCAAAACACAACATATTGAGGTTGAGACCTAAACAGTTATAGAGAAACACAGTGTGTATATATTCAAACACATGGAGAAAATATGCACACATTGAAAAAAGATATATATATCTATAGATACTTCTGAAAAGGATAGAGATTTTACTTTACTGAAAAAAACATTGAAAACGAACACCTAAAAACAAAAAGAAAACTTTGTTGAATCAACACAAACGAGACAGACAGTGCTTGTGACAGTCAGTAGACGTGTCATCTCAAGGACAATTGTTTCACTGTGTGGAATATAACCTTATAAGCTGCATGTTTTCCTCACCGACAGGACAATATTAATCATAAATAACAGAATGAAACTATGGGACCAGCACACAATCTTTTTCTTGGGGAAAGAATTGAAGATTTTAAATAATAATAAGGTAAAGGCGACGGAATGGGGAAAAGAAATCAATGGGAGGTTTATATACAAGACATGCAGCAGGTGGCAGGTGCATTATTTCCTCAATGTGACTCTTTCTCTGTAGTCCGTCCAAAGCCTGCACCACTCAGGATGGGGTGGATCCAGCAGTGTGTATGCCTGGAGGCTGCAAGATTGCCTTTGTTAGCAAAAAACATTCTTACCTTTGGCTTTTGAAGGGCAGTGTTTGAAAAAGAGACTAAAAAGTTCACAGTCCCTTCCGCCCCATGGGGCAGCGGGGGAAAGGACTGCGAAGGAGAAGGTGAAAGACTTAGCCGGAGCCTGGTTTTCATACAAGGGTGTATTTATTATTCATATCACCCCGATCCCCACAACATTCTGTAAACTATTCTTTTTGCATTATGGCAACAATAAAACAGTTGAAGGCCTGACTGAATATGCACACATAGAAATTAATCTTGTCTTTATGTTGCATGGTTTCCATTTCACCACCCACGCACAACATCTGCATACACTCATAACCCTGTAGAGTGTCCTAAATAAAATCTTCCATTAAATGAGATAATATTTGACCAGATGTTCTGCAGTTTGTAGAAACAGTTGATAATATCAAATTAGGAGTTATTCAATAGCTGACAGGTGGAAGTGATGTTGACTTAGTCGTTAAATCACCCAAATAGATATGTTAGCTTCTCATGACAAGGGTAAATTCATTCAACCATTGATTTACCCTGTGGATAACTGGGTAGTGATATGAGTTATTAATATCTGTGGGCCTCTGATTTGATTGAACTTATTGTCAGATTATAATATTATTTTACAATTTATATTTCCTGAGGTTTTTACGACAGACATGAGGGCTCAGCTTAAGTTTCCAATGTATTTTGAGGCAGTGAAAGATTGATTCACATTTCAAATACTGTTTCCAGAAATGAACGTCAGAGAGTGTCCATAAAATTGGACATTCTCTGGAATTATTGCCAAAAACGTCTACTGTGATAACAGGGCGTGTGTCACCTTAGTGGTCACTGTTTCTGCATTTGCATCTCCGGAGTTCAGAGCAAATAGAGGATTACAGTGTGTGTCACTTTAAGAGTCAGAGTTCTCGACTGTAATGTATTTGATTAATTTTAGCGGGCCCGTGCACAGCTGGTATTAACATTTGGTTCTTATGATCAAATCACAAGTGGACAGCTCTAGATACAGGTGTGAACGCACACCTCTAAACCGCAGCAGTTTCATTATGAATCGAACAGATTTCTTTTTAGCTCAAATGTCCGCTGTTGTCCTCCTAATGTCCGCTGTTGTTACTGCAGCAGTAACTGCAGCTATTGCGAGTTCTGTCAACAATCAGGAGTTCTCGTGAGGCTAGATCAGCTTTAACTAGAAGCAGGATATCGGAGCACATTATGGCTAAAAACATGGTGTAAATGACGCTGTACGAGTCAAATTTGAATGTTGCTTTGAATTACTGACACTTGGATGACACAGTAGGGAGGCATGTTATGTTTTTTTATTACGTTTGAAGAATCATTCCCCATTTACATCAATTGGATTGGATTTGGCTGCAACGCTATTTACCCCTGAAACTCCAAAAGTGTTTTGTGGACTCAAACACTTCCCCTCCATCAGCATAGTGGTGAGTTAATGAGTGAATTTTCATTTTTGGGTGAACTATCCCTTTAAGAGACACTCTTTTTAATGTTGTGTATTTTGTTTTCATAGGATGACAGTGTGTCACTTTATGAGTCAGAGTTTCTGACTGCAGTGTCTTTGATTTCTTCATTATTATCTGTGTAA